CCCAGAATCGCCCTCCCCTCAGGGGGCAGCAACAACGCCCGGTTTTTCCCGAGACAAGAAGCTCCGCCGTGCAATGAAAGCGCCCTGGCTCTAGGCTCGCGGGCTCAGAAAACAACGCGAGCCGAGGTGGCTTCGGCTCCGCTTGGCTTCTCCAACATCCGGCGCCGCCCTGTTCTATGTGCCGGGCCCGGCAAGTCCGAGCAGCCAGCGCGTGGAGCAGGGCGGCGCCGGAGATCATTGGCTGCCTCTTTCGCAGGACGGGAGGCCTCCCCCAGCTGGCCAGCTGCTCTCCTCCTTCTCTGCCTGTTTGTTCTGTGTGGCCGAGGAGGAGGAGACCGGCCGGCTGGTTGGGGGAGGCTTTCTCTGGTCATAAAGGCAAACTGGTTGGCAAGCATCCAAAGTTCAATCACATGACTGTCGGCGTATGTGTGACATTTTATGAAGGCCAGAAGTGCTTTACACGACCCATTCTGGTCTTGTCTTAATTTAAATGATTATTAAGCAAGTGGTTGTAAATCAATGACTAGCTGCAGATTAGGACATTTCCTATGTATGCATACCTTTAGCCCTGCAAATCTTCAGGCTTTAATTCATCTAAGAAGAGTGCTACATTTTATATCAAAATGTTCTGAAATAAAACTGATGCAAAATGCATTTTTAAAAATTTCCTCAGGATATTAGATAATCAAACTAATGATGAAAATTCAGCATTTCCCCCACCCCCAGCTATAACAGTAGGCATGTATATAAGATTTTTAGGTTGCCTTGTTTCCTGCCACTGGGTGGACCACCTTGGCCCAAGCAAAATTATTTCTGCATAATGTGCATTCAGAATTTGAATCTCTGCTTGTTCTCCACCTCAGATAGATCTATTCTATCACATTACTCTGGGACCCAAAACCATCACTAGGAAAATAATTTTAAAAATGTTATCTGTGACATGTGTGCCTTGCATATTAGCGAAATAATATTTATTCAGTTAACTTAATTTCCAGTTTGCAATCTACCTGAAGAAGGTCCAGGTGCCTGTATTGAAGAGTTCATTCTTTTACAGATGTATCCATGCTTCTTTTCACACTGACTATTTTCCCATTTGCCAATCCTACCATGCATCAATCCACAGTTTTTTCCTGTTTCAGAAGAGGGGCTACCTGTAAGAGAGAGTGATTGTCCTATCACTGTTTGATATCCAAGATGATAATATTTTTATCTGTAAACAAATCAAAACTGCTTTTTTTCCTTATCTTCAATTGCTTTTCAAGAACACGGTATCCACTTTCCAATATGTACTGTAGGAAGTCTCCATTTCTGTAGTATCTGCCTACCTTCAATCAGTGACCCATTTTGATCAGATCACAGCCAGATCAAGTCTGTATTGAGGCAGAACAATTTTTCAAGTCAAGGACATCTTCCATCTCAACTATTATGAGTGACAGGAGTTAGGTGGCACATTAGTGAGAAATGAAGCCACCTTGCATAGGCCTACGAACTCTACACAAGAGAATTATTACAACATTCAACTAAACACAGCTACTGAGTCTCTTTTCAGAGTTTTCTGTCAGGGTTAGGGCATCTTCAGGGTGCTCAAAAAATGAAGATAACAATATTGTAAGAATCAATGTTTATATATAATATACATAACACAAACATGCCAGCACACTTCTAGAGAAAGTGTCAATTAACTCAAATACATAATATATATTTCAATATTTTATATGTGCATTAATTATTAGAAGAAGAGTATGCAAAGTATTATTTTTAATGCTACCTCATCTATTTAAGAACTATTTTGGAAAGGACGATAAGAATTTCCAAATATTTTAATCTTAATATCTTTAAATGTTTACAGTTCTCTTTAGGATGTAACAAAGGCTTTATAACTGTACACAATTACCCACCTGGAGCCCAGTTGAAATATCTTAACAGTTGGTGATTAGTCCACTGCCATCCACTGTCAAAATCTGGGTTATTCAGACCAATCCAGTATTTGGTTTCAAAATCATTTGTTAATCCTATTTGAGAAAGAACATTCACATATTGATCAATTCTGTAGATCTGAGTCTGAAGACAGACAGTCAGGCAGGCATAGTACAATTCAATCTAAAGTACAACTATCATCTTTCTCTTGATCGTTAGCCATACCTTTAACATTATATGTAGTACAAGGAACATAAGAACCACTATATAGTATGACTTCAAAGCAAAAGACACACAGAGTGCAACCAAAGACATCAGCTAGCAGTTAGAAAACACAAGGAAAATTTCACTGAAGATGTTACCTAATCTGCATGAAAATAAACAAAGCGCAAAGTGCATTAAGGAGTCCTTGGTTCAACCCTGAGCTACATATATTCTCTTCTATTTATACAATGAAAATTCATTAATCTCGCAACACATGGACATACACAACCACAGTTTCCATTGGGGAACTATGAAAATTTTAGATTAAACTAAATAATAAAAAAAAAAGCCAGGGAACTCTTGAAATTTTGGCACTCAGACACATCAGCCATCAATAGGCACATAGAAATAAATTATATTTCCACATGATTCAAAAGAGACATTTAAAAGTTAAGAAGGAAACAAAAAGACTAGAACACATCCTCTTCAGCCTTAACATCCCAAAAAGAAGAAATTAAAACCAAACAATCAAACAGAAAATAATACCCTTGATGTAGGAACAATCAAGGAGAAATCAGAGTTCCAGCAACATTTGCAGAGCAAAGTACAGTTATAAACAGGGAGCAAGCAGCACTGAGGCTATTACATAGTCAGGTAAGCAAACAACCAAGCTCAAAAAGCATTAAAGATTCCACTGTTCAGCCTGAACTATTGTTAGTTATATATTAATGACTATATATTAATGACAAATCAATCAGATAAACTTTCATCTTGGAACATGTGTTTGAAAGAGTAAAATATTTTTCAGAAGGTAATTCCTCTGGAAGAAAAATGATGTTTCTTATATGAAACATTTGAAATTGCTTATTACAGATGAGAAAATATTTATTATCAGGAATGTTTTAGAAGCCTTTTAAGAAATGTTTTGTTATACCTGTCAAATATGCTTGTTCATATAGTTCGCTGATGCTCAATAATTCTGAATATTGTTGCCGACAGCTTTTTCTTGCTTCATCCCATGTTAGAGCTGAGAAGGAATTGATCTGGTAGAGATGTCCTGTCCAGTGATTTTTGACCCAGAAAAAGTCATCGTTTTCATCTGTAAGAATTATGAAAAGTAGAATCAGCTCATTAGTAGCAAAGCCCTGAGAGAATTTAAACATGTTTATTTATATTTGTATTGATTTTTATTGCATAGTTTAGTTAAGAAAAATTGCCAAAAATTGAACAAAGGCTCAGATTTTGAATGGTGCTTTGCATCATCAAGCCACACAGTGAAGCAAATCAAGTCCCTATTCTTTGCCATATAACTTCTTTGGAGAACAGAAATCTCTGTGTATGATGTATGATGAGGAAACCCAAGCACCCTTTAAATTTTCTCCTTCAGGCCATCCTTGCACAACACTGAACCATCTATCTCGTGTTTTGACTACTGCAACATGCTTGCATTTGCATTTTTTACTTGAAAATAGGTGATAGTAATTGTAGGGAGTAATCTAGTAGTCCTTCTATGAACTCCCTGTTGTAATGGAAACCAGTTGGATTTTCTTCTTTTTATTTTATTTTATTTATTTATTTATTTTATTTTTATTTTATTTATTTATTTTGTCAAGCATGCATTTGATATATATAAGTATAAACATGATTATTAATACATGAAATAGATATGAATAAAAGGGAACATTAAGACAGTGATGGTAAGCACATTGGTGCGCTTATGCACATTGCTTACAGACCTCTTAGCAATGGGGTGAGGTCAACAGTAGACAGTCTGAGGTTAAAGTGTTTGGGGTTAGTGGAAGAAACCACAGAGTCAGGTAGAGGATTCCAGGCATTGACTACTATGTTGCTGAAATCGTATTTCCTGCAATCGAGTTTTGTGCGGTTTACCCTGTTTGTATCTATTGTGTTGTCTATTGTTGAGGTTGAAGCTGAAATAATCATGGATGGTAGGACATTGTAATGGATAATTTTATATACTACAGTTAGGTCAGATGGAAGGTGGTGTAGTTCTAAGTTATCTAAGTCTAAAATTTCAAGTCTGAAGGTAAAGGGTATTCTGTTGTGAGTAGAGGAGTGGAGGACTCTTCTTGTGAAATATTTCTGGACTCTCTCGATTGTATTAATGTCCGATATGCAGTGCGGATTCCAGACAGATGAGCTGTATTCAAGAATTGGTCTGGCAAATGTTTTGTATGCTCTAGTTAGTAGTACAATATTACCGGAGAAAAAGCTTCACTAGATTAGGTTAACAACTTTTAATGCCTTTTTGGCAATGTTGTTACAGTGGGCTCTAGCACTTAGATTATCAGAGTTGAGAACTCCAAGGTACTTGACAAAGTGAGAGTAGTCTACAAGGTCTTGTCCATCCAGCTTGTATTTTATTTTTTGATTTTTCTTGCCAATATGTAAGACAGAGCATTTGTTTATTGAAATTTGAAGTTGCCACTTGTTTGACCATTCTGATACATAGTCAATGTCTTTTTGAAGGGTAGCAGTATTGTCTGTGGTGTTGAATAGTTTTACATCATCCATGAAAAGAATGCAGTTGCTTTTAATATGATCACAAAGGTCATTTATGTAAAGTATAAAGAGAGTTGGTGCTAGAATGCTGCCTTGTGGGATACCACTGTTAACACTTTCGGTTATTTTTTGGCTGACTTTACTTTTCACCAGCAGACAATTGTCACCAGTTTCAGTCTTTCTAGGTATGACACTTAGTGCTGTCCTATCCTATTTTTGTTTATTGTGAAACAAACCTGGCTGGTGGAACTTACTCCAATCCACATATTGGGATTGAAAAACAACTCAAAATTATTCAATGAAATGAAATAAAGTTATATTTAGTCACACAAGAGAATAACATCTGACCCAGGTTCAAATATTCCTCCAACCAATTATTCTCTCCTTTTAGCCTAGCTTCAAAACAGGAAAAAACAATGTAATCCTTACACCTCCAATTATTGTGTGTGTGTGTGTGTGTGTGTGTGTGTATGTGTGTGTGTGTGTATAAGGAAGGATGTTACAATTTTTAAGAAACTACTAATAAAGAACTTGCTGAGTGAATGTAACACTGAATATTTGTATGATTGACCAATGTAGCACTGATTTTAGAAATGCTAGCTTCCTTTCCCACTTCTCGTTCTATGAGCTAGCAAATTAGGACAAACAAATAAACAATTTTATCAATAAGATAAAATTCATTTGTCCTGGCAAGGGGTTCTTTTGGGATTTTTTCCAACATCCCAGTGTCACCTACAGCCCTGAGATCTCCTGGTTGTCTCCTCCCACCCATTGCTAATGCTATCTGGCCAGCCAATATATATATGCAACCAGCTATAGCACATAACACATCTGTAGCTACTTTAAAATAATGTACTAGTGAACATAAAATAGTCTATTGTAGAATACTTGTTTTTAAATATGTATGCTCCCAGTTTGGTCTAGTGGTTGAAGCGCAGTCCAGAAAGGGAGATTGTAAGTTCAAATCCTGCCTTTGCAATGAAAACCAGTTGGATGACTTTGAGCCAGTCACTCTCTCTCAGTCCAACTATTGTAGAAAAAAATAAGGGGAGGAAGTTACGTTGATATGTTTTCTGCCTTGAGTTGATTATAAAAATAATAAAGGTGGAATGAAAAATAAATAAATGTATCATCAAATAAGAGTTTACCTTTTACAGGACAATATCCAGTTAAAGAGTCTTTGTCCACATCTGGAGTTGTTCCACACCAAAACCGTTTGTGTTCATCATCATCAACTATGCATTCAGCATACCATTTATTCATATACTTGAAAGGAAATACGCAGGGTGCTCCCAAGGCATTGCCTTCTATAGTGAATAGAGCTATTTAAAAAAAAAAACATAGATTGAGAAGTACTGAATTGAGAGTAGAAATGCTATACAAAAATATCTCAGCATTTAGTTCTAAGACATGCATACAGTTTGTGTACAATACATGCAACCATGTTTACTTCATTCAAGGAACAATTTTCAGAATTTAGGTCTTAGAATAAATACATGCCATTTTTTTCTAAGATGATATAAAAGATAAGAATGCTACTATATTAGAGAAATACTAGGTAATCGTATCATTTGAGATTATATCTTTAGAATCAAATTTATTTAAATTTTCAGTTAAACAGATTCAAAAAAGAAGAACGGATTTAAGTAAGCAAATTCAGCAAGAAGGATTAATTACCTTCATATTTCTGGGCACACAAGCTCTTCTTTGTTTCATAGATCTTCCAGACACTTTTGGTGGAGAGGTTTTCTGATAGTATAACCCCATTCTCATGCCCATTAGCAGGATTTAAAAACAGATCTTGTTGTGCAAGGGCAAGCAGAGTGTCATTTCTGCATTCCCACTTTTGTAATGCAAGGGTTTCATTGCATGGTGACAGTGTAACTGAAACCATGTTTGATTTTGAAGGCACATTCAGGCATAATTTCACTGCCATATTCAATAATTGATAATCAGATACCCACTTAAAATTTTGCCACTCATTAAACTTGTTGCAGACATCGAAGGTGAAGGAACGAGATTCTTGAAGTTTTAGGCAAAAATGAAGATTTTCATTGTATATCAAAAAAGTGTCACTATCTATAAATGAACCAAATAATAGTAATAATACAGATTAATCAATATATAACAATTAATCAATATATAACACAGACAGATGGATATAATTTTTTTATGAATAAAATATGGTTTAATATGATTGTCTTCTTACTGTATTTTCCTATACAATTTAGACATTGAAACAATTCTCTCAGATGTTATCTATTTAAATTTAGTCCTTGCTATTATTTATTTTTATTGTAGTATACAAGCACTAGTATAGGTTTTTTAAAATAAAAGGTATAAAAAAGAGAAAAAGACTGTATAATGTTAACTTCTAAATTGTTATTTTACTTGAAATCAATAATTACAAAGATACATACTTTACTGCTAAGAAAATAACACAAGCATAACTAGAACTGTGACATTCTTTTTAACAGAATAAAAAGTATAAACAACAATAAAAAGAAATAACAATTGAATATTTTAATAATTGGAATATAAATGCATATATTTAAAAACAATTTAAATAATTGAATAAATATTACCTGACATTTGAAAATCTGGGTGAATGAGAAATAAAAAAATTAGGAATAAAAAAGTAGGCATTGTAAATGATAAAACATTCCAGAAAACTACCTGGAAATTAGGAACCAACTGAGATAGCTTCTTTTGAGGAACTCCTTTATATATAAGAGCAAAGAAGAAATAAGTATTTACTTCTGCCTCCAATCTTACGAAATGTGTATTGTAATAAGGAGTACTATAAATAGTATTTGGCTTCTATGTAAAAGACTTATTTCCACAGAAATTTCTTCAGGAATTTATAACTAACATTAAACACTAACTACTTTTATATCTACATGCCTATTAAACTACTCTCTTTGAGAATGAGAAACATTATATATGAAATGAAATAGAGAAATACGAGAGGGGGGGGATAACTTTATTGTCATTTTGAATGTACACTAATCAGCATATATTAAAATGAAATTTCATTGCATACACCTCTCAATGGATCACCACCTTCAATATACACTACATAAACATGACAAAATAAATAAATGCAAAATTATGCACATACCCACATATATTATATGACACAAACAACACAGTCTTGTTCGGATGTGCACATGTATATAGCAAGAAAAAAGAATCTTGCAAGTTTAAAAGATGGATGGCTTAAGGAACAAAGCTGTTACATGATCTGAAAGTTCTGCTAGAAATACTTCGAAACCTCCTGCCAGAGGGGAGCAACAGACAGAAACAGACTGTGAAATCAGTGTGTTGGGTCTCTGACAATGCTTTGAGCTCTAAGCATAGCGCTTATAAGCAGTATCCTGAACAACAGGAGGTGAGCTTCCTACAATCTTCTCAGCTGTCCTTACCACTCTCTGTATGGACTTTCTATCTGAGGCACTGTTGCCACCAAACAAACAGTATTGCAGTTTGTTAAAATGCTCTCAATCATGCCTCTATAAAAAGTGGCACCAGATACTTAACATTGTTGACCATCTCTACTGTTGCATCCAGGATACTGAGTGGAGTATGACCATCTTTCTAAAATCTATAATAATCTCCCTTGTTTTATTAACATTTAGAATCAGGTTACTTTTATTGCATTAGTCCACCAGAGTCTTCACCTCTTCCCTATAGACATCTTCAATGTCATTCTGGATAAAACCCACTACTGCTGTGTCATCTACATACTTCACAATGTAATTCATAGCAGATTTTGCACAGCAGTCATGGGTCATCAAGGTGAACAGTAGCGAACTCAAGATACAGCCCTGTGAGGAACCAGTACTTAAGGAGATGAAAACTTTTCTTCCAACTTGCACAAACTGGGGCCTATCAATGAGGAAATTACATAAAGGAGTATTAAAACCTAATAGGCCCAGTTTGTTCACCAAATGCTAAGGAATGGTTGTGTTGAACGCTAAACTAAAATCAACAAACAGCATTCACGCATGAGAATTCTTCTTCCACAGGTATGCCAAACTAAGATGAAGTACACAGGAAAGTGCATCATGTATAGAGCAGTTCTTCTGATAGGCAAACTGTAATGAGTTAAATGTAGCGGGAAGGTATGAAACCATATACTATTTATTCAGTCAATTACTGGCAAAATCTGACAATATATGATATAAAAGTAAAATCAAATGGATGATATAAAATAGTAACATAACAAGGATTTTCTATTACAAAAAATATAAAATACTATCATGATAATATTAATTACATGTGCAAATATAAATCTAAAAATACTATACTCTTATCAGGTAAAATATATATATCACCTAAAACAAATTAACTAACGTGATAAATTTGAAGTATTGATTTTTTCATATTATTATCCATAAATATATGAAATAAGCAGAAAGCTATTATAAATCCTTATTTCACTTTTTAGTGATGATCCTTTTCTTTATTATCCCACACTTACATTGTATGCTGCTTTTACCTCATTCAACCACCAACTTTCTATAATGCAAATTCATTTCTCACCTCCATACCATTCTTTGTCATATGCCAAAGAGGAAAACTTTGATTTTATTACTCCTTTCCAAATCTCATTCATTCAATTTATATGCTATTCCTTTTTCAAGCAGTTTATCAATTAATATCATAAATATATAAATATTAACAAAGATTCAAAATGGAACAATGAATGAAAATTTAAATGCAATCAACGCAATAAACTACCCCTTACAAACTCTTCATTTCAAACTCCTGAAGAGTGATATATTTCCTGTTTGGTCGGATATAAAAAACAATATTTTGGCTTGAAATGTGTTTTCTGTATTTAAGAGCTTAGCTTGCATAGAAAAATTTGGATATACTAGCCAAAATGTGTCCAAAACCCCCATTGTTGTTGTTACTATAACCGTAAATGAGTCATGCATATAGTGACAATTAAGGCTAAAAACCTGGTCTTCTCTCCCCCCCCTTTTTTTTTTTTACTAAAAAGCATTGTATTATAGTCATCCATAGACAGTAATATCTACTCCCTTGGATTTCTATTCCTCCTACTGACTCAGTAGAAAGACAGGGGCCAGTGTCTCCATTGTGCTTTTGAGCTCTACTGAACTAAGATCCTCCTCATATAAACTGTTTTGATCATCTCTCTATTCTGGACATCCCTTGGGACATCTAAAGCATTGAAGGAGCTTTAAAACTTTGCTTTTGTTGTGGTTCGCCAGCAGCCTGTGCAGATGGCAGCAGAATCAGACAGTGAGGAAAAAAGGGGACCAGTCCGGGAGTCTGGAGAGGACTCAAACAAGGGTCCTGAGTCTGATGCAGAGATGGGGCCAGGAGCATCTGGGAGTGGTGTGCTGACTCCAGAGACTCCTTAGTCTGGCAGCACCAAGGGGAGCCTGTTCCCAGTGCGCGTGTGTGCAGAGCTGCTAAAAGGCAAGAGCAGCTGAGACAAAAGGGGCGACTTGGGAGTAAGGCTTGGAGGTGATTGCCCCTCCCATAAGGTATAAAGGAAATGCAAAGGTAGGAAAACCTTTGCAGGAAGCAATGTCGTTTGTTCTGTTCAGATTAATCTTTGAAGCTCTGTGTGCACGTTGTACTTCAGTTGGTTTTTTATAGTTCATTTGGCACTTTACTTGTTGGCAGCAATTCAAAGAAAGGTGGGTGCTTATCTCGAGGGACTGTTTGGGATTCATTATAGGCTGAGAATGAACATAATTCCCAGCATTGAAATAAAAAAGAGTTATTTTAACTAAGTGTTTGCTTAATTATGGTCTCAGAAACCTTGGTCAGAACAGCTTTCAACTTTATTCTCCCTCCTTCTTTCTTAGATTAGCACATGTAATTCAGTGAGTCTTTTTTGTTATGGAGAAGCAAAATTAATTTCGTTGTATATATGTACAATGACAGTAAAGGTTATTATGATTATCTCTTTTATTCATTAAACATGAAACTGAATATTTAAAAATGTATCACAAATATCAGTGACTGGTGCTAATGGTTGATATGGGTTGCTGCCAGCCTCCTAGGTATCAACCAAGTATTTTCTTAAATATATGATGTTAGCACAGGTTTTTGCAGTTCTGCTGGTGTTGTTGCAGGAAGATGCAATTTCTTGATGCATTTTGTAAAATTTCTGGACATGGTACCAAGTGCCCCGATGACAATGGGTGTCACTGTTATATATTTCATCCATAACTGTGAAGTTTCGATGGCCAGGTTTTGATGGCCATATTTCGTGATTTTTTTCCAGTTCTTTTTCTTCAACTCTGGCATCTCCTGGTACAGCATTATCAATAAATTGTATGCTTCAGCTCTCGATAACCGTAATATCTGGTGTGTTGTGTTCCAAATGGTGATCCATCTGTATTCAAAAGTCCCACAAGATCTTCACCGTCTCATTTTTGACAACTTTTTCCACTTTATGTTTGACAACTTTTTCCACTTTATGTACCTTTTGGATACAGGTAGGGCATATTTTTTACTTTTTGGATACAGGTAGGGCATATTTTTTTACATAATAACTTAGCAACTCGATCATGTTTAGCATTGTAGTTAGTTTGCGTGATTTTGCTGTACTCACATATTAAATGTGAAAGAGTTTCAACTTTGTCATTTCAAAGTCAGCAATTTGGATTGTCAGTAGATTTTTGTATCTTCACTTTCATGGCATTAGTTTGTAGTGCTTGTTCTTGAGCAACAAGTATTAAACCTTCCATTTCTTTCTTGATGATTCCCATATTAAGCCATGCCCATGTCAAGTTATAACATTTTCCTTCAGGGTTTTTCAAGTGCTGTCCATGCAAAACTTTGGGTTTTTTTCATCCATTTAATCTGTCATCCAGCTGTTTCTCCTTATATTCTGCCTTTGTTTCTGTTGTTTTTATAATGTTCACCATTTTCACAGCCTGTAGCAATTTTTCTGTAGTTTGGTTCACATAATCATTCAAACTTCATTTTTCTTCTTCTACAGTTTGATGGATTTCCAATAGCCCTCTGTCCCTTATTCTTCTTGGCAGGTATAACCTGTCAATGTCACTTCATGGATGTAAAGCGTGGTTACATAATCAAAAGCTTATGGTCCAGGTTTTCCAGTTCATCCACAGTCCAGTTGATGATTCCAGCTGGAACTGCCCAGGTATTAATGGCTTTAATTATGTTTCCAGCGTTCAACTTTGATTTTAATATCTTGTGGACCCTCGTGATGTATTCGTTTTGTATTGACTCTTTGACTTTTCCATTCAAGATATTATCTGCTTCCAATATGCCAAGGTATTTGTAACTGTCATCCTTTCCTAATGTTTTCACATTTCCCAGTTCTATTCCATTTCCCAGTTCAATTTCTTCTATTTTTTCCAATTTTCCTTGCTGCATGGATAGTATAGCACATTTTTCATGTCCAAAGTTCATTTTGATGTTGTTGCTGAACAGTTGAACTGTGTTGAGTATTAATTCAAGTTCAGCGTGGCTTTTCGCACACAGTTTTAAGTCATCCATGTATAGTAGATGGTTTATCTTGCCATGTTGGCTTGAGATTTGGTAACCTAGTTTTGTGTTTCGTAGGATTATTGTAAAATGGAATTAATGTGATGTTGAACAGTAGTGGCGAAAATAAGCACCTTGGAAGATTCCTCATCTGATGTTGACTTCACCAATGTTCTCCCCATTTGTTGTTAGAAC